ATAAAATAAATCAATAATACGGATTTATGGAGTAATGCTGTTAAAATATCACTTTGTAATACATATTCCATCATTTATGGATGTACTACTTACATGGAAACATGTAATAATATACCCCAAACACGCCATTTGTCTTGTTTGACTTCATCTAAGATGCGATGTTACCTTTTCTAATTCAACATGTATTATTATATTTTCTACCATTATTGGAATCTAATAAATATATTCCAGTCACCGGATATACCTTTTACGTCTAAATATAATTTGCAAACTTTGGAATAGGACAAACAAGATGATTCTTCTACTTGTCTCAAATAATCGATCTCCAGCTCATTAGGCTAAGCTTGATACTTAATATAAGTGACATCGTCAAGACATGTGTGTACCGATCATAAAACCCCTCCATATAATATTATTATAATACTTTGTATATACGATTTACTGGACAAATTTTTATTTATTTATTTAAATATTAATGAATATTTAATACTTCAGATGTGTACATAACATGTAAACCTGTAACTTCAGAGACTTCTGATAAAATTGGAACATACATATATACTTGAAATTGCTATTATACATTAGTTAATGTTATTAGTTTTATTTATTTATTTTTTACCGTGGCCTAACGATTGTAGCTAAATGATGAATAATGAACAGATTCAACCTAAAGTTGCACACGGCAGGAATCATTGCAGCTAGTTTTGGAATGGCTAACTTATTTTCACGCCCCTTGGGAGGGCTAGCTTCCGACTACAGTGCACGTTACTTCGGTATGAGAGGCCGGCTTTGGACCCTTTGGACCTTCCAAACCATGGGCGGTCTCTTCTGCATCTGGCTAGGCTTAGCCAAGACCCTACCCACTGCCATTGTAGCACTAGTCCTTTTTTCACTAGGGGCTCAAGCCGCGTGTGGTGCAACCTATGGGATCGTCCCCTTCATTTCTCGACGATCCCTAGGGATCATATCCGGCCTCACGGGTGCAGGAGGCAACATTGGATCCGGATTGACACAATTTATTTTTTTCACTATGGATAATTTTAGCACACATGAAGGTCTTACCTACATGGGAGTCATGACTATTGCGTGCACCTTACCCGTGGCCTTGGTGCATTTTCCGCAATGGGGCAGTATGTTCTTACCACCTACTAAGAATGCTAATGAGGAGGCTTACTATGTTGCTGAGTACGACGACGACGAGAAGAGAAAGGGGATGCATGAAGGGAGTGTCAAGTTTGCTGAAAGTGCCCGGTCTGAGCGTGGTGGGAAGGTGGCTTCTGTTGCTACTCCACCTACACAAAGTCCTAACCCTAACAATATTTAGTAAACTGTTACTCTTGTTTTAATTTTTTTATGCTTTTGGATTCAAGATCCATTATACTTTGTATGAGTTAGTAAGTCGTATAAGTTGGTAAGTATTGGTAACTCTTGTAATTGTAATTGTAATATATTAAATTTCAGTAATTATGTATACATATATATGAGCTAGCTAGCTACAATTGTGCGTTGAATTAGTCCCGTAAAATGTCACATTCAATCATCATATTATTCAAAGTTCTAGCTTTTTGGACAATACATGATAACATGCTTGACTTTCGAGTACACCTAATAATCAACTACTAATATCTATATTGGACTTAATTGGATCAATTAGAAATTGAATAAAGATAATTGTATTTGGAGTTAGAAATATTTATAGGCCTCCCTATTCTTTATCTTTTGATTTACTACTGAATCCAATAATAGAGTGATATAGTTTGAATAATACAAGATCTATTATGTTCACTTTTAATCGAACAAGGATGTCATGTCCACAATTATTATATCTATTGTGACATTTGGGTATCTTCACTAGCTAAATATTTACAGGAACTTTGATAAATTTATGGATAGAGTTTTTTAGAAACTGCATGTACTTTTTTGAAATCAAATGTTATAGCGTGTACTCACTTTAGCCCTTTAGGTACATGCTTTAATTTGACATTAAGTAAAACCCCCTTTAATCAAGGTATAAGAATGGATTTGTCATTTCATTATATTCTAATAAAAGGAATTAAATTGCTTGCAATTAAAGAATGCTATGTAGTAGCACTGAGAAAATTTTGGCAGCAAATAGTACATAGCTCCCATCATCAACAAGACCTATGGATCGAAAGATTGAAACTATGATAGATTATAATTATTATTTAATGATTCTTGGGCTTAAACTTTTGACTGAATTGGTCTATTGTCATAGTATCAAGAGCCGGTGTGTAAGCAAAGTCACGAATTTAATTCTCATATTAAAACGGAACATTTAGCACTAGGTAAACCTGCCACAAACTTCCTTGTTCAGCTCTCTTAGCTAGTTAGCTACTACACCAGTTAATTAAGAGCTACTCCCTCCGTTCTTTAATTAGATGTCTATTTCTCTCTATTATGTGAGAAATAAATACTAAAAATAAACATCTAAATAAAGGGGCGGATTGGAAAGAGTATAACGTACAATAGCTAATTTTGTTGAAGACAAGGATCTTATTATTTCACAACCAAGAGATCTGCATTACAATCTACTCGTATTAATTACTCCGTTTAAGTACATACTGTCTAGAACTCTAGAAGTTTCCCAATTTTTCTAGTCTAGCTGACACGGTCTAAAATTTCTAACTAAACGTACTTTTTCTCTTTTGTTAATTATTTGTTATTGGTGTTCCCTCTTGAGGATCATGATTTAATGAGCATTAACTTAGTAATTATATATCACTTTGATTAAAGATACAAAGTACACCACTAATTAAATCACCTCTATTAATTAGGTCATATGAACAACCAGCAATTAATTAATTAATTAAAGAATATACAAGTATCTTTTTTTCCTATTAAAATAGAAGATTCTTCATTCAATATATAATTTTGGCACAATGCCGGTTATTTTCCGACCCTATTATCCAATGGTTTTGGGTTATTAGGGTCAACCATTTGCTGGAGGATAAGTAAGGCTATCAAAAAATAATTATAGTTGTCCAATAGAGGAAAGAATTAAGGCTGTAATTCAAATAATTTTTCAACAAACATTTTTTAAAAGAATTGATGAAACTATATAAATCTATTGAAATTGAATATGTCTCTTCAGATGATATAAACATATAAGCAAGGATTAATAACATGCTGCTGACTCTTCAATGAACCTATGTGTTGCTCAATAAGCGCGAATTAAAATCCTCTGTCTCAATTTTTATAAATCATATATAAGCCTAGTGGCTAATTGATTAGTTCGTTTATACGAAGTAATATTCATTTATTTGAATAGTTGAAACCCAAAAAAAAAATGCTTTATAATTTAAACATCAACCTATTAAATTAATAACCATATATATACATCATAATTGAAATAGTAAATAAGGGTATAAATTAGATCAATAACACCACTTATAATGATCAACTAGTGTGTAGCTCGGGCGTTGCACCGGTTGCTACTTTAATTAGATCTTGTGATTATCAATTATATACATTTATTTTCATATTTGTAACATTGTTTATGATTGGTTTAGGTGGTTAAGTAACTATCTTTCTTAGAAAAGGTTGAGTGTTCAAATCCCCTTATCATCGTTTTTAAATTTAGCTTTTGGTTTAGAACAAATTTGGGAGAATCATAGTCCATGTGAGGTTACTCCATACATTTTGATGGATAAATTAATAATATAAAGCACCATCCGATTTTCCTAAAAATAAAAAAATAAAAAAAAAATCCATCCATCCCTAAATTACATGTCAAACGTGCAATGTCACAATTGGTATACCTATATTGATGATGCGAGATGAGATACATTGGTTGCCAACTAGGGCTTGCCTGTGAATTACGATGTAAATTGACATCCTCAGAGATATATATACTAGCATTGACGCATTGTGTAGCTAGTTGCATTGCCAGTAACGAGTTTATTGAGAAGATGACTATAATCATAAGGATTATGATTAAAATTAGATCAAAGTGACCTCTCATATGGCTGAATAATAAGACAACTACAATAATGTTAATTAAAATATATTATATATACATATATAGGGGGTATTCCTTATAATGGTTAGTATGATAAGTACGTTACTCAAGCTATGCATGAGTTGTACATATCATGATCTCAGCATATAAAAAGTCCAAGGGCATTCCTTAATTATATTATGATCATGATTGATGCTTTGTACCACTTGTACTATATTAGAATAGAAAATCGATCAATAATTAGCTTTTTTGTTCTAATAAAATTTCAAATTTACTTTCTTTCTTATTAAGAAATAAACAAACTAGTGATTGATCAATAATCGACTAATTGTAAAAATAAATTTATGTGTTAGAATGCTTGCAAAACAGGAGTATAAATTATTTTTGGCAACCATTTTAAGGAAAAATGATAGGCTTAATTAATCTACTTTTAAAGTTTTTATGTCAACCAAAAACTTTTAAATTTTTTATTTATAAAAGAATTTATTCATACCTGATGTACGGTGCACTCAAGGGTATTTTCTATTCATTTGATATTTTTTTTACTAATTCTAAAATCTTAAAAATGAGAAGAAAAAAATATAACAAATGATTATAAAAATTACCCTTGACTGCACCTATCTTTATGTGCACCCGAGTGTATATAAAAACATCTTATATAGATATTTATACGTCAGATTCCCTCAAATAAGACCTTACTAGAGGCCCCCATAGCTGGAATATACCACATTTGATGCAATTAAGAATTAATTCTATTCATTATTGTTAATAAAACTTCTGACTTTGTAAACTCTTTGATAATTATATTTATTTCTTTATTTAAAATAGTAACCCTTCAACTGTACAAATGTATAATCACCCTTTTCTCCAAACTTCCATCAAATAAAAAATGATTAAGTATGATACCCGTTGGGATCTTCATTGGCCTCATTATCACCTTTTACATTGTCAACATTACATACTATACGAGTATATATATATATATATATATATATATATATATATATATATATATATATACTCTAAGAAGTACTTGTATCCAACAACGTAAGCTAATACATATATAGAAACAACTACCCTAAATACAAACCCTTGAAAAAAAAATAAAAATAAAATAAAATCATATATGGCTACCGGTGAGCCCGGAAGCTCCATGCATGGAGTCACCGGAAGGGAACAATCGTACGCCTTCTCGGTCTCCCCCAACACAGTCCCAATAGACACGACGGCCAAGTTTTCTTTGCCAGTCGATACAGAGCACAAGGCCACTAAGCTTAAGATATTCTCCTTGGCAAAGCCTCACATGACCACTTTTCACCTTAGTTGGATATCATTTTGTGCGTGTTACATATCCACTTTCGCGGCTGCCCCCTTGGTTCCTATCATTAGGGACAACCTTGACCTTACTAAAAGGGATATTGGTAATGCTTCGGTTGCATCCGTCTCAGGAAGTGTGTTCTCTAGGCTAGTCATGGGAACCGTGTGTGACCTTATGGGACCAAGGTACGCTTGTGCCTTCCTAGTCATGTTGACCGCCCCAACGGTCTTCTGCATGTCGGTTATAGACGATGCAGCTGGATACGTGGCGGTGAGGTTCATGATAGGTTTTTGTCTAGCCACTTTCGTGTCGTGCCAGTATTGGATGAGTACCATGTTTAATGGACGGATCATTGGGTTGGTTAATGGAACGGCGGCAGGGTGGGGGAATGTGGGAGGGGGTGCAACCCAACTTCTTATGCCTTTGTTTTTCGAGATCATCCGGCGTACAGGAGCTACACCATTTGTAGCATGGAGGATTGCTTTCTTTATACCAGGAATGTTACATATTATTATGGGTATTTTGGTACTTACCCTTGGTCAAGACTTGCCTGATGGTAATCTTGGTGCTTTACAAAAGAAGGGTGAGGTTGCCAAAGATAAATTCTCTAAGGTAATTTTCTTAAATTACTCAAAATTCTCCGCAAAGTTCGTAAATTCAATATATAATTCTCTTTCACCGTCCTTCTAAGTTTGTCCCACGTAGTAATTTTCGCTTTTGTAAGAACTACTTAAAACATTGATACTCTTAAAAGTATGGAGTATTTACTAATTATGTTTATGTTATTTCTTAATAACTAATATAGGTACTTTGGTATGCAATCTCCAACTACCGTACATGGGTCTTTGTGCTCCTCTATGGCTACTCTTTGGGTGTGGAGTTGACCACAGATAACGTCATTGCAGAATACTTTTTTGACAGGTAGTTTTCATATTTCCCTTTATTATTTGTATAGGCTTCTAAACTCATAACAACAAATTGTTATCCCTTCATGTTTTAATAAGTGTGTTATATTTTGATCAAACAAGCATGTTGAGACAAAACTTTGACCATTAATTTATATCTAAATTAGGAAAATTGTATTACGAAAGTATACATTATAACGATTCCAACAATGAATATACAATAGCATTTGCTTTTTTTTTATTCGAAAACGAATACACTATGCATCTATTTATATTATTGGACTACTTTTCCATCAAGTACATGTAAAATTTCCCATCAAGCCATGCCACTTGTCTAGTTTGACTTCATCTTGAATGTGATTGGCCTATTCTTTTAATTAAATTAAATTATATTAAGGTATGAAATTATTTCAACATTGGAATCTTTTGATCAATATTCTACAAGATAGAACTTAGATTCTACACGTCTACATTAGCTAGATAAAATTGTGTATGACTTTTTCCTAGAGCTATGATTCGGAGAATATTTAGTAGATAATTGAACATTATGTGTTTCTAATATGTGACCATATGTACTTATTAAATTAAACCAAAGTTTTAAAGGTTGGCTTGTCTACAAGTCTTGTTTAGCAGTTAGCGGGTAGCTGATTAATACAATGCTTTATTAACTAGTTTGATTAGCTAGTTATATTAAATAGATTGACTGTAAATATAATTGGTTGTATAAAAGTATTTGATAAATAATTGTTAATAATTATTAACTGTTTAGTGAATGTAATACCGAAAAAGCTAAATGTTTTATAATCGTTCTTACATAATAATGGTACAATTTGACAGATTCAACCTCAAGTTGCACACAGCAGGAATCATCGCAGCCAGTTTTGGAATGGCTAACTTATTTTCCCGCCCCTTGGGAGGGCTAGCTTCCGACTACAGTGCACGTTACTTCGGTATGAGAGGCCGACTTTGGACCCTTTGGACCTTCCAGACCTTGGGTGGTCTCTTCTGCGTGTGGCTAGGCTTAGCCACAACCCTACCCACTGCCATCGTAGCACTAGTCCTTTTCTCACTAGGGGCTCAAGCCGCGTGTGGGGCTACCTATGGGGTCGTCCCCTTCATCTCTCGACGGTCCCTAGGGATCATCTCGGGGCTCACGGGTGCAGGAGGCAACATTGGATCCGGATTGACACAATTTATTTTCTTCACTATGGACAATTTTAGCACACATGAAGGTCTTATGTACATGGGAGTCATGACAATTGCGTGCACCTTGCCCGTGGCATTGGTGCATTTTCCGCAATGGGGTAGTATGTTCTTTCCGCCTTCTAAGAGTGCTAATGAAGAGGCCTACTATGTTTCCGAGTACGACGAAAAAGAGAAGAGTAAGGGAATGCATGAAGGGAGTGTCAAATTTGCTGAAAGTTCCCGATCTGAGCGTGGAAGGAAGTCTGCTACACCAAGTCCCAACCCTAACAATATTTAATAAGTTACTTTCGTATTTTATTTGCTTTTGGCTTAAACAACAATGATATGAGATTATGATGAACTCCTATAGTAAATTATTGGAAGTTCTTTGTTTCTTTTTTATGTTTGGTTTCTTTTTTCATATATATATCATACTTCTGGATTTTTGGCTCAAGAGTTATGGAGATAATAACCTTGTAGCAAGTGAATTTTGCTTGCAATAACTTGTTAACTTACATATATGTATACTATTACTTCGATTTGTATCTACAACAGTTCTTGCCATCTTTAAATTCAATTTAGCCTCGATTTTGCACTATTTTTTTAATTTGTCCCATCCTTCTCCCCTCTATTGTTAGCGCCGGCACCCCTAGCCGCACTCTCCCAACCATTATTTAACACTCGAACCACCCTAAATCAAGATTTCACGAGGTGGTGGAAAGAAGGGAGTTTGATTTCGTTGGTGGGGATGAGGAGGGGAGGCGGTTTCGTGGCTAGAGCAAAGTAGGAGGTTATTTCGTTAATTGAGCTGGGTAGGGGGATGTTTCGTGGGTGGGGTTGGGGTAGTCAACGCCGGAAAATAGGGTTTCCCCCCATTTTTCCGGCATTAAGGTATGGTTTTGAAAAAAAAATTTGATTAATGTATTTTTTTTGCAAAAAAAAAAATTATAAGGTGATTTATTGCAAAAAATTGCTTATAAAAGGTGATTTTTTTAAAAAAAATTCGTTAACTAAACCATCTTTTGAAATTATAGGCTACAACGGTTACCTAAGATATTTTTTTGGATGCTTTATTATTATTATTATTATTATTATTATTATTATTTTGCATTAAACCAAAATTTTCTAAGAATGTATGAAAAGTACTGGTATTGTAACTAATGGCCTGGTGTGCAGCTTAATTTCTGTTCAGTTCAGTTCAGCTCCAATCAGTTCAATTCAATTCAGTTCCTAATTTTCGTTCTCTCATAAACAATTCAGTTTAGTTCACTTCACTTCAACTCAGTTGATTTCAGCTCCAATCAGTTCACATCAGTTAAGTTGTATTCAATAAATTGAAACAAGCCCTAAGCACATACAAACCAATAAAATTTGATAATAGAATCAACTAACGAGTAACTGAGTAACCATTAGACTTACAGTTTAGTTATCCTCCCTCGTGTGTTCATCGATATAAAGCAACTCACACGTGAATTGTCCCAAAAATGAAATTGGGTACAAAATCAAGTTACTCGCTGTCGTAGTCGCATTCATGGAGTCAACAGCAGCTTCAAAGCCTAGTCCGGCTAAATCAGAATGTTTACTACCTCGTATCTCTCAGGTCAGATCCTGCACTTCCGGTATTCAATTAATTCCAGATGATTTTTTTTTTTTTTATAATGAAATTTGTTTATTGATCTGAATAAATTGATTCAAAATGATAATAAAATTTGCAGTTTAAGATAGCTTTGTGCCAATTACTGGTAACTACTGACAAAGATATCAACTTGGATCGCGCTCGAAACATGCTGGAGGAAGCTGCTAATAAGGGTGCCAAGCTTCTTGTTTTACCTGTAACTTTCTTCACTCTCAATTAAATTAACAGTTGTTGTTGCTGTACTTTACACTCGTATTTAATAGAGCCACCAAGGTAATGATATAGACGAAATTCAATTTCATGCTTTCGTATTTGACTATCACCAGTACCCCAAAATTTAATCGATAAGTTGACGTTGTTTAATTTAATTGCAGTTCTACTGTTTCATGAATTGCAGCATTTTTTTTAGAACCAATGTACTTATTTAACACAGCCTAAGATTAATCGTGTTACATTTATTGTTAATACTTGTTGATCATGAATATAGGAAATGTGGGTGTGCCCCTATTCACATGAACACTTTACTAAGTGTGCTGAAGAGCTTGATAAAGAGGAATCATCTCAAGCTTTTCATATGTTATCGAAAGTTGCTAGTAGTCGTAAGATCACAATAGTCGGGGGGTCGATTCCAGAGAGGAAAAATGGTAGAATGTATAACACATGTTGTGTGTTTGGACCGGATGGAAAGCTCAAAGCTAAGCATAGTAAAGTAAGCCCTTTTGTAATCATCATAATAATTAAGATTGGTGAAATTATATTATTAGTCCTAATGGCTTGTAGTTGAATGTGCAATTCTATTGGTTTTGATTGTGCATTCATTCGCAGATGCACTTGTTTGATTATTATGAACCTGGAGCTTCGTTTAAGGAGTCGGATTCATTCACTGCTGGCGACACACCTACAGTTGTGGACACAGGTAGTATTGCAGTGTTACAGTAACATTCAAGTAGTATTGACTGTTCTGTATGTTAATTGGTGACCCTTTCAAACAACAAATGCTTCTTGTTTTAGGATTCCATGTGTTGCTATTGATATATTATGTAATACATTTCACTTTGTCTTTAGGGTGTGATTGATCTATGTCGTTTATCATTAGTGTTTAATGATTGGTCGTATCCGTGAATTTCCTTTTAAAGATTCGTGGTTCTGGTGCATTTTAAGCTGAACAGCATGTATTGTATATATGCCTGCAGATGTAGGCCGCATTGGGATTGGTATTTGTCATGACATACGCTTTCCAGAGCTTGCTATGTTGTACAGGGAAAAAGGTTCTTATATTATGTCTAGTTTTGAATGTGGCATTACTAAGCTTGAAATATACATCATCCCGAAATGAGCTATTATGTATGCAATGCCAGGTGCTGACTTGATTGTCTATCCTGGTGCATTTAACATGAGCACTGGAAAAATGCTCTGGGAATTAGAAACAAAAGCCAGGTAAGTACTTCGCTAATACATTAATCAAAGTTCTTCCTTAGCAAATGTTTGTGATATTTGACCTTGAAAAAGCATTTGTGGCATTTAATTTGGGGCAAAGGGACTAATTTATACTAAAATAGTGAAATCTAGTCATATGTGTTGGAAGATGTTTGTATTTTATACTTGTCTAATGATTTGAGATTCTGATCCATCGCCTGGGTTCTTTGACATGTATACCTTTTCAGGGCAATTGATAACCAGGTAGCATTTCTATCTCTTCAACCCCTACTTAGCCTCTAGCTCGTGTAATCGCTGTAAAAAGATGAGAGTGTGAATGAATGTTTTGGATATGTCTTGTAGGTGTTTGTTGCTGTTTGTTCACCATGCCGAGATTCAGCTGGATCTTACACAATTTGGGGTCATTCCATGATTGTTGCTCCAGTAATTACTAAAGATCCTACACTTTTCATGCATACTTATTATGTTTAGATATTAAATTCTGATAATTTCAGAATCATATTGATGTGATATACTGATTTTTTTTGTGCATTACAGAGTGGTGAAACAAAAGGTAGAACAGAACATGAAGAGAATATTGTAATTGCTGATGTTGATTATGCAGAAAACCGACTTCAGAGGTACTTATTACTTGTACCATTTTTAATTTTAGTATAAAAAGTCTCAAATTATCAGATTTTCTTATCTTGATCTGAATGTTTGCATGCTTTGTTCAGAGAGCTCTTCCCTAAGCTGAACCAACATATGGAAGATCTATTCAAATTTTTGGATACAGAACAGTTGAAATTCGCTAACTATGCCAAGTCTTGTAGTGCCTCATGACTTAGCTTGTACATGTAAAAGCTTATTTTAGCCTGATGCTGGCGAGATTTTAGCCTGCAGAAAAGTTGTACTACTATATAACAATTGCTGTGATTTCTTTTCTGTTAAAACGAGTTAGGGTAATTCTCGGGTTCGGCTCAAGTCAATAATTTGCGGGTTCGAATCAGGTTGGGTTATTCTCGGGTTTGAGTTGGGTTCGGTTCAAGCCAATAATTTGCGGGTTATAATCAGGTTGGGTCATTTTCAGGTCGGGTCATTCTCATGTTCAAGTCAATAATATGCGGGTTATAATCAGGTTAGGTCATTTCCAAGTCGGGTCATTCTCGAATTCAAGTCGGGTTATGTTCAAGTCAATAATTTGCAGGATCAGGTCGGGTCATTCCCAAATCAGGTCATATTCAGGTTTAACTAACTATAAATTGATAATTATCATTTTTATCAAGCTAATTATTTCCTTTGACTATAATATACTTCCTCCATTTTCTTTTAGATGCAACACACCCTTTAACGCGGTAATTAAGAAAGGTGAGGTTTACATGATATAATAAACTTTAAAATAGGATGAGTGGTTGTTAGAAGTGTATTTAGTGAGTCATGTGCTTTAAATAAGGGATATAGTATAATAAACTTTCAGGTCAAATTAGTAACAAGTCGGGTTAAATTCAGGTTTTGACGGGTTAAAACGGGTTTGGGTCAATTTCAGTTCAAGTCGAGTTCGGTGCAAGTCAATTAAATTGGCCGTTATAAACCGGTAAATCGGTGAAAGTTGTAAACCGATTAATTGGCCATTTAAAAGCAAATTGAATGGTTCCACACACCCAATTGGACTTCCGGAGGGTATTAGGGACCATGGTAAACATTTCAGCAATCTTTATTTCCAGGCGAAAAAAAATTAAAAATTTCCAAAATTGAAGGCTAATATCCACGCTTTTTGAGAAATTTTAGAGGTTTCGGGCCTGGTGTCGAAAAGTCTTGAAATTCTATGGGATACGTCTCGGGGTCATATAATTCCGTTTGGAACCATATATGATCATTATTTGTTGTCATAAATGTTCGTAGTAAGCTTGAATTAATGAAATCGGTGCAAGTTGTAAACCGGTAAATTAGTCGTTTAAAGGCAAATTTGATGGTTCCACCCACTCAATTGGATTCCTGGAGGATATTAGGGAGCATGGTAAACATTTTGGCAATTTTTATTCTCAGGCGAAAAAAAGTCAAAAAATTTAAAAATTGAAGGCTAATATCCACGTTTTTTGAGAAATTTTGGAGGATTCGGGGCCCGGTGTCGAAAAGTCTTGAACTTATAGGGGATACATCTCGGGGTCATTTCATGTCGTTTCGAACCATATATGATCATTATTTGTTGTCATAAATGTTCGTGGTAGGCTTGAGTTAATGAAATCGGTGCAAGTTATAAACCGGTAAATAGGCCATTTATATGCAAATTGGATGGTTCCACCTACCCAATTGGACTCCCGGAGGGTATTAGGGACCATGGTAAACATTTCGGCAATTATTATTTTCGGACGAAAAAAAGTCAAAAAAAAATCCAAAATTGAAGGTTAATATCCACGCTTTTTAGAAATTTTGAAGGTTTCGGGGCCCGGTATCGAAAATCCTTGAGATTTTAGGGTATACATCTCGGGGTCATATGATGGCATTTTAAACCATAAATGACCGTTATATGTTGTCATAAATATTCATGGTAGGCTTGAGTTAATGAAATTAGTGCAAGTTGTAAACCGATAAATTGGTCGTTTAAATGCAAATTGGATGGTTCCACCCACCTAATATGAATACCGGAGGGTATTAGGAACCATGGTAAATATTTCGGCAATTTTTATTTTCGGGCAAAAAAAAGACAAAAAATTCTAAAATTGAATGCTAATATTCACGCTTTTGAGAAATTTTTGAGGTTTGTGGCCCGGTGTCAAAAAGCTTTAAGATTTTAATTAGGGGATACATCTCGGGGTCATATAATACTGTTTTAAACCGTAAATAATCATTATATGTTGTCATATATGTTCGTCATAGGCTTGAGTTAATGAAATCGGTGCAAGTTGCAAACTAGTAAATTCCCATTTAAAGGCAAATTGGACGGTTCTACCCACCTAATTGGCCTCCCGGAGGTTATTAGGGACCATGGAAAACATTTCGGCAATTTTTATTTATAGGTGAAAAAAAATAAAAAAAATACCAAAATTGAAGGCTAATATCCACGCTTTTTGATAAATTTTGAAGGTTTTGAGGCCCGGTGTCGAAAATCCTTGAGATTTTCGGGGATACATCTCAGGGTCATATAATGTCGTTTGGAACCATATATGATCATTATATGTAGTCATAAATGTTTGTTGTAGACTTGAATTAATGAAATCGGTTCATGTTGTAAACCGGTAAATTGGTCGTTTAAAGGCAAATTGGATGGTTTCACCCATCCAATTGGTCTCCTGGAGGATATTAGGAACCAAGATAAACATTTTGGCGATTTTTATTAAGGCAAGAAAAAGTCAAAAAAATTCCAAAATTGAAATCCACGCTTTTTGAGAAATTTAGGATGTTTCGAGGCCCGGTGTCGAAAAGTTTGAGATTTAAGTGGATACATCTCGGGGTCATATAATGTCGTTTGGAACCATATATGATTATTATATGTTGTCATAAATGTTCGTAGTAGGCTTGAATTAATTTAATCGGTGCAAGTTGTAAACCAGTAAATTGGTCGTTTAAAGGCAAATAGGATGGTTCCACCCACCCAATTGGACTCCCGGAGAGTATTAGAGACTATGGTAAAAATTTCAAAAAAATTTATTTCCGGACGAAGAATTAATAAAAAATTCCAAAATTGAAGGCTAATTATCCACACTTTTTGAGAAATTTTGGAGGTTTCGGGATCCGGTGTCAAAATGCCTTTAGATTTTAGGGGGATACATCTCGAGGTCATTTAATGTCGTTTGGAACCATATATGATCATTATATGTTGTCATAAATGTTTGTGGTAGGCTTGAGTTAATGGAATCAGTCCAAGTTGTAAACCGGTAAATTGGTCGTTTAAAGGCAAATTAGCTGGTTCCACCTACCCAATTGGACTCCCGGAGGGTATTAGAGATCATGGTAAACATTTCGGAAATTTTTATTTATGGGAGAAAAAAAGTCAAAAAATTCTAAAATTGAAGGCTATATATATCCACACCTTTTGAGAATTTTTAGAGTCTAGGGGTCTGGTGTCGAAAAGTCTTGAAATTCTAAGGAATACATCTGGGGATCATATAATTTCATTTGGAACCATATATGATCATTATTTGTTTTCATAAATGTTCATAGTAGGCTTGAATTAATGAAATTAGTGTAAGTTGTAAACCAGTAAATTAGTCGTTTAAAGGCAAATTGGATGGTTCCATTCACCCAATTGGACTTCAGGAGGATATTTCGGACCATGGTAAATATTTCGGAAATTTTTATATCCGGCCGAAAAAAGTGAAAAATTTACAAAACTGAAGGGTAATATCCACGTTTTTTGAGAAATTTCGAATGTTTCGGGGCCCGATGTCGAAAAGCATTGAGATTTTAGGGGATACGTCTCGGGGCCTGACAGGGTAAAGTCGTATCCCCTAATCAAAAATAATTCCTAAATCCTCTAACTAAAGTAGATAGGGAAGTAGGGTCGATCTCCACAGGGAAACAAGTCTTTCTATTCCTAATTAACTAAAATAATCTAGATTATGAAGTAACCAATATTTATATTTGAATAAGAAACTAAACTACTAAGATTGAGAATAGGGAGAAAACAATATATAAAAGGATCTAGGGCATAGGTTCACCAATAAATAATACTCCAAGGTAAAACATAATAATCAATCATTGACATTGCATAAGTAACATGATTAACAGGCTCTCGCAATTTATTAATCAACATAGATCTAACAGGCTCTCGCAATTTACTAGACCTAAATTCTTATTGAAAATAGCCTTTAATATCAAATTAACATCGGCTCGATTCATCAATTCAATATTGCTATACTTTTACAAGCCGTAATTGTAAAACGTTAAAACAATTCAATAAGAAATTATCATGCAATATTAATAATCAATAATAGTCAATCATCAATGCATCAATTAACCAGATTGTAAAGGGCTTTTGCTACGTATTACAATCACATAATTAATCTACCGGTATTAAATCTCATCTCTCGAATCTCGACTTAACCATTTATAAATTAACCTGCCTATTAAAACTAGACCTAAACATCAATTCTCATCTCTCGAATCTTGAATCAATATTGTCAAACTCATGCATAAAAGATAGGCCTAATCTAGTCACAGAGCATTAAATCAATCAATAGGAAATTAATCTAGCATTGATAATTAACAACAATAAATTACCCCTTCATATTATTTATGGATCCCCACAAACCCTAGAAATAAAACTACTCACACATAATTAATATAAAGAGAATAATAGTATAAAAGTAATAAGGAAAACAAAATAATAAATCTTGTGGAAAAAGTAGAAAAGAAAAAAAGAAAACTAAAACTAAAAGAAAGAAAAGAAAAAAACTAAACTTAAAACTAGGGTTTGTTTGACATCATTTTTTGTTTTCAGTTTTCTGTTTTTTTGAAAACCAAAAACAAGAAACAAGAAAAAGGTGTTTCCACTTTTCTGTTGTCAGTTTTCAAAATTATCATGATTTTAATAAGTCCATATATTTTTTGAGTCATTATGTGACATATATAATACACTTTTAAAAAACAAAAAACCAAAAAACAGGAAATCACAGCGATGCCAAACGAACCCTAAACTAACAGAGCTTCCTACGTGACTACTACTATCACCTTTTATAACAAAAAGGAAGTCAACATCCAGATCCCACTCAAACTCAAAGCTGCGGGAATTTGGAGCAAACCAACGAAGCCCAAAAACAACGAAACTCGATAATGCATAAACGGGCCCAATAGCTGAAGGTCCAACGTTGGTACTTCGCTGGAGGAGATCTCGCTGGGGCAAACTTTGGGCCATCTGTTCAAGCCTTTTCCACTTGGGCCGAAATTTCATTCTTCTTAATTTATCTTGGACTTGCAACAAAATTAGTACTCTAAATAAACCGAGCCCTTAATCACCGAACCCAATTCCTT